GAACAAGATATATATATATATATATATATATATATATATATATATATATATATATTTATATTGAAAAATAAAAATTAAATCTAAAAATAAACAATAACGTGCATTATCTTACTGTTTGTTGTTTGTTGCTTATCGAAATTGCTCCATCGCACGTGCGTTTTCCTAGACATGAGGATGGTTTCGTTGATGATATTCATAGGCGCACTTGTAAAATAATCTGCGAGCTGCATTAAATAACTTCCTATATAATCACACGCAACTTATTATTAGTTCACAATTTTTAACATTATCGCAATATTTTAATATCAAGGTAGAAAGTCAGTGTCTGATGTGTGCGCGCGCGCGGTGTGTGTGTGTGTATGTGTGTGTGGACTAGAATAAAAATAAATTGTGGTCAATTATATAAATTTCATCCTTCCGTACTTGGCAAAAAGCAATCATGAAAAAATCCGTAAAAACGTCGCCATTCCTTCGCGTGAAATTGACTTTATAAAAATCGTTGCCGACCGCATCGTCGGATTTACTGATATTCACCGAATTCACGTTTCACATGAGAATACGAATCGTAGAATAGAAACTCGGCAGCGATGTGCATATTTATTTTGCGATTTATACGTTCGCACCCGCTCATTCATACTCGTCAGATCGTCGACAGGTAATTGTTGTTGACGATCGGCTGCTGTCAGTCGATGCTTATCCTTCGAAAAAACATATTCTTATCTATCTCTGACACAAACTCGACATGCAACCGATTCCTGGATTTTGCACATTTGTACGTACGTTTCTTAGTAAAAATTTACGAAAAGGAAAGCACTTCATTCTTAGGTAAATCACGAGTATCATTCAAGATTCTTGTCGAAAACGAAAGCATTCCGTTTGACATAACAAATTAGAGTTGTTTTTTCTCCCGCATGATTCAATCGATATAATAATATCGATTTCAGGATAATCATGCTCTTTTCTATATGCAGTGTGCTATTAAGCAAGCGTCAGAGAATAATAAATGGAGCGTTGTTACTATGATTTAAGCATGCACGCAACATTGTACTATGTTTGATTATATATGAAAAGAATTCAAAGTTTTTTTTTTCAAATTAATGTGAATTTAAAGAATTCTATTTTTAAAATTTTATCTCAGTTATGCTTTTATACTTGTTTACATTTTTATATATATATATATATATATATATATATATAAAAAACATATATATATATATATATAAACGAGAGACTATATGTATGTATGTATGTATGTGTGTATGTGTGCATGTGTGTATGTGTATAAGTAGATATAGGATGTTTCATTTTAATAGAAATAATTGTATCTCCTTAATTCTCTTGATACTATATAGAAAACATCTTGGGTAAAAAATTTAAAAAAGTTTAAAGTTTTAAGCAGGACATTGGTGAAAATAAACCGTTGAAATTATTGAGAGTACTATAAAATTCTTGAAACAAGAAATATTCTAGCCTTATTATTCTGTGCATTAAGTATAGTTAATAGCGACAGTACTTTATCGACCCAACGAGTAATATTCAACTTTTATGGCAATAATGTAACATACGTCTGAAATTAAATATGATTTATTTATTGTTAATCATATTGATAAACATAATATTTATTGTAATTTATTAAAAATTTAATTAAAATATGTAATTATAATTATTATAATTTTATTTAACTAATTTACTTTAATTTTACGGAGCTATACATTATATCATAATAAAAAATGTGATAATAATGCACATAATAACAAAAACATACAAATTCACAACATGAAGAACTTCGATCATTTATAGAAATTATATTTACGTCATAGGAAAAGTTAAATTTCAAAGAACAATTTTATTTAAATGTTAGGAAAATCAACTGCAATTATTATATTAATACAATAGTCTAAATATTATTTATATATTATGTAAATAGTATTTAAATTTGATAAAATTCAGATTTCGATAATAATAACAATGGTACGGTTATATAAGAGCAATGTATAAGATTGTTAAATTATAATTAAAGGTCTCAATAACCTCACACGAAAATTACAAATACATCTAAAAATATTTTTTAATTGAAATTTGATATTGTATCTATATGATAGAAGATTCAAAATAATTTTGTCTGTTTAATATTCTACGTACCATTCAATGAATTGGAGAACATGTGTACGATAACTGAAGGAAGCTTTGTCGTTGTCGCCACAAGGAGAACCACTTGTGTAAAGAAAACCTTTCTGTAAACATTGTAACTTCGATCATTTCTGTATTTCCAGCAGATCAAGTGCTATGATAAATGTTCATAATTATGCGAGGTATAAGATAATAAAAGACATTTAACATGAAATAAATAAGGAATAGATTACTTTTTAGTAATTTAAAAATTAAATGTAAAATTTAATGTAAGAATTTAACATAATAGCATAATTTTTGTTTGTTGTAATTTATAATGAAGAAGTCGTTACAAAATTCTATTTAAAATACGAAGAACTTTGATTTTTTAAAAATTTGATTTTAAGAAATTTTAAGTATATTGTAATACAGATAAATAAATAAAAAAATATAATAAATGTAAATATCCTTCGAAACAGGATTTTAGGATTTTAAAAGAATAACAAATGAATCATTCTTCAAGCAATATTTGTAGTCAAAAAGAGATTTGGTTTACACAGAATATCTCACATATCCATCCATTCATCTCTTACGCCTATCCTATTTAATCACAAAAATTCTTCTTCTATTTTAAAAAACATCTAACTCTACCATTTTACAATCTTAATTACATAATTAAGTGCTCCACTTTATTATTTAACACAGCTTTATAATCAGTCACAATTGTTTTATAATATTGCATTATCCTACTCTTGTTGCATGCTTACTGTTTCACATATTGCATATTCCTATCTCTATTTTATCTCTACCCTTTACATCTTACAAGAGGGAAGTTATCCACTTCACTTATATCTGTTTTCTAATCTCTTCTCTCTCGCCTTTCACAATTTCTTTAATATCTTTCCTTTCATTTCATTCAAATCCTCACTCCATAATCTTTTTCATATTTATTTTTTATTCCTATCTAAGACTGCCAACCATTCCTTAGTAGTATTACATTCTTCTATATAATGTACAATATTATTCAAACCTTTTTCGCAAAATAATCGTATCCTTTTGTCTAGTTAATATTTATTTATTTCCTCCATATTCCAATTTAAAAGAACAATTTATTAATGTATTTATATAATATAATTAACACATTCGTTCAATGTAATGCAATGTGAGAAAAATAATATAAGTTACACATTTTTAACACATCTTTAGATATATTTATATTTAAATTTTAATTGTAAATTCAACTTTTTGGAAATAAATTATCTAAGCAAAAATGAAATGATTTGATGTAATTAAATAAATTTCTTCTTAAATAAATTAACAGTATGCGTCTGTGTCGTTGTCTGGTTGGACACGTTTAACCCAATCGGGAAGCTCTCTAATTCCATAAACGAAAACACCCCATGTCGGAAAGAAAAGAACTTCCACTAGCCAAGCATAAATTGAGGGTGCACAGCCTCCAGCGATCAACCAACCGGTGGGAATGTGTCCTGCGATGGCTACAATTGCGTTTGGAGGTGTACCAACTGGCAATCGGAATGAAAACGAACACATCAATGTGGCTGGTATCATCAAATACATGGGATGTATCTCCATTGCTACACACTGAAAGATAGGTAAATAGAATTAATTAATTTTTTAATTAATTAATTTCTTTTTAAAACGATTCAACAAAACTGTATCAGCAGCAATAAAACATTAAAATATAAGATGTATAAATATACGATACATCGAAATATAGAACTGCAATTTCAGAATGTTGTATTTATTTATTTCAAATTTTAACAAAGTAGGGCCAACTTCACTGAAGTTTTTGTACGATTTTGTTGCTTCCTTACCTTAGACAAATGGTTCGAGAATTATATTTTCTATCGCTCGAATACGTACATGTGCGCGCGCGAATACGTACACATACGCACACATAATAAATTATTCATAATAATATATATTTAAAAACATGAATATAATTTACCATTTCTGCTATCACTGGTAGAGTGATATTCGCAACACCCACATTTGAAGTAAATTCCGTTAAAAGTCCTTCGAAGAGACATACCACAGCAAGTATAAGAACGGGTGGTAAGTAACGGAGTGGTACTAGAGCTTCACCAACCCGTCTTGCCATACAGGACGCAACACTTCCTCTCGAGATCGCGAAACCGCCACCCAGTAAAAACATCAGACTCCATGGCATCTTGGCCTCAATTACTTTCCATGTTATCAGACCTTCCGAGGATCTGGTCGGCCTTTTTTTGGCTGCAGATTTTGAAATTTTATATAATTATAGTTAAATACAAATAAGATCTTAAAAGAAATTTATTAAAATGCTATACTTTGAGATGAAGAAATGTATAACAAAATTTAATATAATTTTTATTTTTCAAATTTTAATTGTTGAGCTTACTTTATTAAAATTAATAATTTTCGAATATTTTAATTATAGTAATTTAATAATTTTGTAGAATTATTATAGTCAATATTTAAGAATTAATAGGATTCCTATAATTTCTATAATTTCTTTTATTGTTGAGATAAATAATTTTAAATATGAAAACAAAGCCGATCTTATTCGAAAATTTATCTATATATTTATCAATATCATCTATATCTATATATTTATCAGTGTCTCTAGATTGTAGTCAGAACAACGTACTACTATATGTTATCAAAATCTGTATCGTTCAGATATAAATTTACCAATATTTTTTTTTAGTTAGTTATTAAGAGTTGGTGAAGCTCTAGTATTAATACTTACGATCTTTACTGTAACTATGAATAAAATTAAGATCTTTCGGGATGAAGAACATCAAAATGGAGACGAGCATCACCGGCATTGAGTCTCGGAGATCTCTATATGTTTATTATATTTTATTATAATTATATGTATTTTATACACAATACATTGTAAATTATAATAAAATTAATATGTGTGTGTGTGTGTGTGTGTGTGTGTGTGTGTGTGTGT